TTAAAATTAAATTAAATTAAAATTACAAACAAAATTAAAAGTACGAAACAAATATTTATAAATATTAAAATAAACATAAAAATATGCATTTTAAAAAAAGGTTTTGTTTCTATTACTGTCGAAGTGCAAGTGAGTCGAAAAGAACTCGCAACCCGTTTATTTTAGGAAGATGAAAATGCTGTCAATAACCGTTGAACAATTGTAAAATATCGTATTATAAGTATAATAAGTCGGAATTGTTATAAATTTATTTTGTGTAAATAATTAAATAATTACATGTTTGTTGTTAATATTATTATCATTATATCATTTTATAAATATCTTACAAATATAAAGAAACCTAAAGAAAACACCCAAAGTTTGGATTCAAGAGGATTAAATTTTAGAAATTGCCTTATACTCAATGTCGCTCATTTTTCGCTATTGCCTCGCTCTTTTGTCGCTATTGCCTCGCTCTTTTGTCGTTCCATTTAAGCGACATTTGCTTGAGAATGTTTCTATAATTTATTTAACAAATTGCTTTACTGCACCCCACGAACGCACTATGTTGAGTTAATTAACCTCTAATACAGCAGTTCTTGCAAAATGTGTTTTTGTGTTTTGTCATATGTAAAAGAATATTATCCCTCATAACACGAATAACAATTCTTGGTATTTGTAAATTATTATTGCTTTGGTCATTATCATCATTTTATAATTTTCTCCTTATTTTTCCAATTTTTTCATTTTAAAAGAATTGGATTGGGCATATTTTATAAAATTTTATAAAATTTTGTAAAATTTGATAAAATATAAATTATAAAATTGTCATATGTTTACTGTCGTTAGAATAATTGCAAAATTATTTGCCAAAAAGCCATAAAACTAAGCCGTACTATATGTAAACAAGTATAATAAATAAATAAATAAAAAATAAATAAAAAAATATTATTAAACATTATTCAATAAATGATTATAAAGAAGCTCCACGAAAGCGTAAACCACCCTTTATTACGACGATCTTTTGCACTTGCAACAGTTCTCTACATATATAAAATTGAAATATAGTTCAGCACTTATAGAGCAGCGAATTTGCCTTAAAGCTATTTCTTCGGACAAAAGGATGAAATCACTTCTGCCTTTCTAACAAATAATTCAATTGATTTGTACTACAGAATTTGTATTAAATTTATAAAAATTAAATGAGATTTAATGCCTCGTGGATAGAACAAAGAAAAATGAATTATTCAATTAAAGTCAATGAGAAAAATAAATTTTAATTTCTTTTTCGTAAAGGTTAATTGTGAATTGATTGTGGATTTTTTTGAAATTTTTTAATTTTTTGGCATTTTAGTGGTATTTTTTGGTTTCTGGTGAAAAAAGATCCGAAAAAAATCCTTCTGTTTTAACGGAAAATAATCTAAATAGTAAGTGATTAGCTAAATTGGATAATAAATAAAATGGTAAACAATTAGCGAACTGCTTTTCGCACACTTTTCCTTTCCTCTTGCGGACTTATAAAAGAATAAATTGGGCGAATGTTCCGTATGTTCCACGATTCATTGCATATTTATTTATTCTCTCCATCCACTCTATTGAATAAATAAATAAAGAAGATTTCGCTTAAAATATAAAAGAAATATATTTGCATTTGAATTCAAAATCTGAGAACTAACTTTCTAAGAATTTTAAATTTTTTTGACTTTTTAAAGCTATTCAAAAGAAGCAAACGTCAAGTAAAAGGAGCTAAAATAAGAAAATTTTGCATCAAATTTAATAAATTGAATATTTTATTTTTTATAAACTAATGCATTATATCAATTCTGTGATTTTTGCCGAAAATGCAGCTCAATGAGAAACCACTGAAGTAGATTTATATTTTCTTATTAAAAGGCTTGTATAGTCTCTTGAATAGTAATTTATGAGGAAATAAGGTAAAAACTCGGATCATTCTTATAACATTGAAAGTGTTTAAAGCGTCTCCGGTTTTAGAAAAGTTGAACTATATTTTGCGGCAAATTTTATTTAAACCTTTTGCATTTTTCTTCAAACGGCATAACCGGCTTAGAAACTAAGAATGCAAATTGTGCTAAGTATGCTGGCAGAGAGGAAATGACAAATCTGTGCTTCGCGACGTTAAAATCTCTGGTGAAGGGAATCTCTTAAAATCTTAATATCCATGGAACAATTTCATGCAAATTTCATCTCTAATTTTAATTTTTATTTCCGTTCCGTTAGTGATCGCTGGCCACCTTTTATTTACCACCTTTCTTCTCGTTGAATGAATAATGCTGAATATCATCGAAGGAGCTGTCGCTATCGCTGATTAGCACTGCAGCGTTTCTGTGCTTTCCTATCCATCAAACCAATAGGAATAGCAAAAAGAATACCATTTAAGCAGTACAAGGCTTTTACTTCGCTTCGAAGTGCCCGTATAAATTTGGTCTAAATCATTTTTGATGTCATACAGTAAGGGCTTAGAGGAAAATATTTGGCAGTTTCTGTGATTCAGGCAATAAAAGAATATAACCTAATCAGCCTATTCATTACTTGCAATTCAAAAAATTATCTTAATTACTAATTTTTTAAGCCAGTTTTTTAATTAATTTTCATTGTCAACAGATTGTTTTTTCATTTAATATATTGGACGAACTGCAAAGTACTTTTCATACTTAACGATGCCAACTGGTTCGCTTCGCTTTGAATTTTTTAAAGACTTACAAGATCGTAACGAATTAAGAGGTTGTTTTATTAGATAATAAGAAAAAACTTTCATTTTGAAGATGGGAATTTGAATTAGAAATTTTATCAACCGATAAGAGATTATTGAAAGTAATGGTTTTGTCAAATGATGAGAGATTTCCACAAGAATCGTCTCTTCGCACGTGTAAAAAAAAGTAAATATTTATGTTCGAATGTTATGTTATATTTATTTGATATATTCATCTCAATTGGTCAAATAAAATATGCAAAAATTTTATGCAAATTCCATTGGATTTGATATCATAAGCAATGTTTCCTATCAAATGAACATCAAACGAAATTTTGTTTTGTTCTTTATTCTTTGCTCGTTAATGTAAAGCAGTCCGATGGTTCAACTAAGATATCACCAAATTTTATAACAGTATTAAGCGCTTGATAAAAAGCTGCACATGGCCCATGGACAAATGGCTTTTCTCTCTTCGATTACCTCAGACCAACAAGTTTTATCAATTTATCCTTTCCGTTGACTCTCAAGCATATTTGAAGGAAATGAACATATTTTTATCTAAAATCGACGCGTATTCGAAAAAATAAATACAATTTTTGCTTTTAAATACAATACAATTAAGTACACTATGGCAACAAAATGTTGTAAAAAAAATACATAAAAATGCAGCAGTGATTGTAAGAAACGCATCAACAAATTATACATACACAACGAAACCCATCATAGTTTTAATTTTAACCGAATTTTACTTTGTGCAGCATTAATCGCATACAAGCACATGCGTTCTCTCTTGAATCGTGGCCATCGGCTAAATATTGCGAGTTGAATTACGAACATTTTTTGTAAAAATTTTTGCACTAAATCAAAAAATGAACAACAAATCTGATGGAAAAAAAGAAAATATTAAAATATTCTAACCGTTTTTCTGAATTTTCACTTGAAAAATATCACTGAAGATATTTTTCAATGACCTTTTATATGGCGGTCCTCTTTCATGCGGGAAAACGTCGGATGTGTCGACTATTTTGTGGTGGACAATGCGTAGGGCTTTCAAATCGCTTGCCAAACTATGCCCAATTAGAATGGTTTCCGAGTTAACGAACTCGAGAAACCTTTCCCTTGCCTGAATATAAAATAATTTTGTTACCCATATGTTGAATGACTAATTTCTAATGTGCAAATTAATTATGAAATTTGTGATGATAAACATATATATATGTTATTAATCGTTGTTGCAACAATTTTGGTATAATAAATTCAACCTGTTTGAAGTCGTATATCGTTGTGTCCACCAAATTCTTTGTTAAGCCGCTGAACCGAGTGTTGTAATCCATAACAGGCGATTCAGGCTTAACTATAATGTCCAGCACCGTTTCACCCTTACAATTCACTAAAATTATTCTCGCAAGTGACAGGCCGCGCCTTGTATAAACCATCTCGCAGTCTAGCGCGTATACCTTGCAACTGCGCGAGTCACTTGGGCTTAATGGTGCCGGTGTCTGAAAATTTCTTCCATGTAATTAAATATCTCAAAGGAAAATTTTTATCTGTCGACAAGTAATCCGTGAAAATTGTTGAAAATTTTAATCATAACCTCAACAAATCGTTCTAAGTCGCTCAAAAATGCCGTATTTGTCACATGCGATTCACTGACGGTACATGCTTTCCCGTTGGGCCCTGAAGAACAGCACGAAAAACGCATCTCCCAACTGTCTGCAAACAACACTGAACCACATTAGGCAACATAAAGAAAAAATAAAACGATGAAGATTAAAATTATCCGCTGGTAATTCACTCATATTAATAGTAATTTTCTGCTAGAATTTTTCGTTGAAAAAATTGCAAAATCTATTTGGACCGCTAACCTTCTTCTTTCACCAATTTTCCCCAGTGAAAGGAGCACTTCTGTCGAGGAATTAATTTGGTGTCGTGTGGCAACAAGAAATTCTCGCCGCAGCGGCAGCACCTTCTAGTGAGATCTGTGACCGAAAAAATTGTTAAATTTTTGTTGCACCCGAATTGCTTTACGAAATGAAATAGTCTTTGATAAGGCAAGGCAAAAAAAATAATTCATCATCTATAACTAACCAGTTTCTTCCGCATAAGTCTTCATTTTATAGCTAAAACGACTTGGAGCTATATCGACTATCGTTTTATTTGCATTTTTCCAAACGGGAAAGCCATTATTATATAATTTTTCCCTTTTCATAACGTATTTTTCGCTTAATACGCTGTGAAATATTCTAAAAATTTCATATTTTTATTATTATTATTTGTGATAGACCCATGTCTTTAGACCTATCTGTTGAACTTTTCCAAAAGAAATGATAAGAAATGATTAAAATGATGAAAAAGCTACGCTTCATTAATTCTTGGGAGCCTAGCATTTCTCCGATTGGCGGCACTTGAGGAACAACGATTTTCATCAGCAAAAGCAGCTGCACATCCCTTGCCACAAGTAAATTCATTCTCTATAACCTTTCAATAATAAATTTTTGTGGGTAAACTATACGTTAGAAAAGTAAGAAGAATTATAGCATATAGAAGGAATTTTGTTAGGTCTATTAACCTTCTTTTTCACCAATTTTTCCCAGCGATAGAAACATTGCTGCTGGAGGCCAATTGAGGATTTTGCGGCAGATAAAATTTCTCGCCGCACCCAGCAACTTCTGGCAAAATCTGCGAAACAAAATGTGTGAAAATCTTTTTATCCTCGAATCGTCTTTTAAAATTAAGGAAACTACCCTGTAAAATAGAAATTTTCATCATAAAAAAAATACTGAAATTATATACGTAATTGTTGCAATTGTTATTCACACCACTTTTCATTATAATACAGATTTTACTCTAAGGCTTATAAAAAGCTTGAAAGTCGATTTTAGGAAACCATAGGCAAAGCTGTTTGTTATCACTATGCATGGGCCAATGGATTTCCCACAACTGAAAACCAACAAATTGTTTTACTCTTTCACCAATTCTTATTATTTGTAGTAAATTTAAGAATTGGTCGCTCATTTGCCGATTTATAACGAACATTTTAAAATTAATCAACCATAGGCAAAGCTGTTTGTTATCACTATGCATGGGCCAATGGATTTCCCACAACTAAAAACCAACAAATTGTTTTACTCTTCCATCAATTCTTATTATTTGTTGTAAATTTAAGAATTGGTCGCTCATTTGCCGATTCATAACGAACATTTTAAAATTAATTGACCATAAAAAAAATATGAAATATTTTATAAAACAAAATAATATTTTTATAATGCAAATATTGCATATATTGAAAATTATAATTTTAATCTGTCTGTCGATTAATAGTTCTAAAAATTTTGCAAATTTTCATTCCCTTAAGGTGAATTTAAGCAATGAATTTTTTTGATCACAACATCGCATAACTATTTTTAAATTATCCCAAAATTATTTTTAAATTTCAAATTTAAACCATTTAACGAAACTGTTAGAAAAATTTATCAATTTCTACTACTTTTATTTTATTTTTATTGGTTTGACTTTTATTTTGATTTTATCGTCGGTTAGGTGAAAATCATTTTTTTGTGAGGGTTTTATGTTTATAACAATTTTTCGCCAAAAAAAGAATTCAATATTATTCCAGTATTATTATTTCCCATATATTTTTATATATTTGCTTTGTTAAGAAAGTTGTTAGCCAACTAGGCAAATTTGCCAGGGAATTCTTTGACGACAGAAACACAGGTAAGATGCCAGCATCACTCGGATTTTTCGTTGGATTTACTTCTGCAAACAGTAAGACCTCAGCATTGGTGCTTCAAAATGACAATCCAATCCTTGCGCCCAATCCTCTCAAAATGAAAAAACTAGAAAAAAATCAGGAGAAGATTAAAAAAATGATGATAACGAGCTAAGCAGTAATAATTTAGAAAAACCACGAATTATTATCCGTATTATGAGGAATGATATTCTTTTACATATTATAAATGACAAAACTCACTTTGTAAGAAACGGCTGTTAGAGGTTAATTAACCCAATATAGCGCGATCGTAGGGTGTAGTAAAGCAATTTGTTAAATAAGTTGTAGAAGCATTGTCAAACAAACGTCGCTTAAATAGAACGACAAATGAGCGAGGAAATAGCGACAAATGAGCGACGTTGAGTATAAGACAATTTCTAAAATTTAATCCTCTTAAATCCAAAGTTTAGGTGTTGTCGAGTTTTCTTTAGGTTTCTTTGACTAATTAGTCAAGGCATTCTTAAGTAGTTGTCGCTTAAAGGAACGACAAAATCGCAATGGTACGAGGCAATAGTGACATATGAGCGACAGCGAGCATATGACTATTTCCAAAATATAGTCCTCTTAAATCCAAAGTCTGAACTAGAAGAGGGGAATGATTATAAGACAAAAAGCTAAATGAATTTCAGAATTTCAGAAACGATTGCTTTCGTTGGTATTAATACACGTTGCGGCACCATCGAAAAAGTATGTACGACTAAGCCGCATCGAGAATTTTGTTTTTGCTCGGAATGCTGTGTAAGGTTCCCTGTAGGTACCTTTCGGTGGTAATGATTTTTCTGATATATACTTATGAGGGTGGAAAGCAACGAGCTAATCTATAGCCTAAATCTATAGTCTTATTAAATAAAGAGTTGAGTGGCATATTGCTTCAACTGAGTATCATCCACAACACCCAGTCGGAGCAAAATTTTACCATCAGAAATGTTATCCTAACCACTTGAGATAGTCATCCGTCTTTCTATTCTTCGTCATCAAATAAGTTGACAGAATTTATTGGACAGTTCAAATTTCTTTTTATATAAGTTAGAAGAATAGTCGATAAATTTTGAATTTCTCTGGAAATTAGAGATAAATGCCAGTAATGTGACTGATCGAAATTAACTTTTTCTCTTCGATATTGAAATTGCAGTGTGTTTCATATTTGCAGATGTAATATAATACTTAAGTAATTAAATAATTTAAGATATTTTTAATTTATGTGAATAATTAAGAAAAGATAATAAGAAAGTTATAATATAGCCATTCCACTGGCAGCAATGACATGCAACTTTTCTCCGTTCCACGCCTGAAAATATTCTAAGCCAATATTCTCCAGTCATCCTAATCAATCTAGCGCTGAGATACTTATTCTTCCAACGTGGTTGTATACCTCGATCATGTTACTATGTTATTACATGCTTTCTATGCCAACTATTGTGAAAGGTTACAAGTAATATGCATTATAATGCACAAAAATATTATACGTTACTTCTCCCAGATGGGTTGCGCATTTGGAGGCGTTTTATTTTTGGGAAGAAATCGAAACTAAGGGATATTAGAATTTTTGAAAATATGCGAATTGAAATTCATTAGGAATTGAGATTTACACTTAAATCTGCTGAAATAAATAAAAGAATTCCAAGGAGTAGAGTAAATGTTCAAGGCGAACAGATTTAACGAAATGAAAGCAGCGAGATTGACAAAAAAATGACAATAAATTATTTTCATCGTTGAATAACAAAATTTACACTAACTTATGAAAAATATATAATGCAAATTTAATGTAAATATCAGATTTGATATATTTTGAAATGCTTGGTGAAATTTTAAGCAAAATGCACTCGGCATGGCCTTTGGTATCAATTCGAACCATCATGGACTATCGCTTTGGAAGATTTCAACTTCACCATTGGGAATTCCTGTCCAAATCATTTATCTATTTATTATATATATTTACATCATTTAAAAACAATAGCTAAAGATTAAAATATTGAAAAAAAATTAATGAAACGAAAGCTGCAACGACAGAAAAAACCGTTCGATTTTACATCCACAACGATGGCCTTAAAGTTCGCTAACAAAAGGAATTAAAAAATTACGTTACGTTACATTTTCAAAATAATATCTTAATTTGTTCAAGAAAAACTAATTAACAATCGTAAATCTTTGCAAATTTTAATTCCTTAAAGGCATATTTATGCGATGATTTTTTTCGCTATAGTTTCGCTATAGTTAACAGCAAAACAGCAAAATGCGGTTAACCTTTCCCTTCTCATTGGAAATATTGGTTTTACTGGGGCATTTGGATGCTACGAGAAATGAAACACGATTTATTGAGTTTGGGCAGTAAATCAGTCTTATATAATAGCCCGGCATCTCTCATTTCAGTTAACTCGACAGAATGGGAAGCTAGCTGGTTTTCAGCATTATATTACTTTATGTTAATACTAAATATTTAGTAGAAGAAAAATATTTTGTGATTTTTGCGAATGAAAGATAATAGCCCTTTGAAGTTTGCTATTTTCATAGGGTTCTGAGGCATTTACTTAGAACGAACTAAGTAAATATTACTGGTACGGTTAGCACTTTTAGATTTTTCATCAGAATTATTGGTTCAGTTCGTTAAACTTGGTTTGGTGTTTGACGAATTCCAACCAACAAACAAACAGTAATTAGATTCGCAATCTTTATGCATGTTCGCACGAGCCAAGCCAAAATGTGGAATTGAGCCTTTTAATTGAAAAACATTCTATGATTTGTTTTAAAACACAAATTTGTGGTGCATGTTTGGTTATGTGAAAGAATTGCTGAGTCAAGACCGTCAAGTTTCAAGTTCAATTCGCAATCGCTGCGAATTGTTGACCAAGTGTAACCGCAGGATTGTCAACCCACTGGCGGTTAATGATTTCTATGAAAATGCAAATTTTCAAGATGGCTGACATTTTTGCATCGTGCCTTCCTATTCCCACATATGATGCCAAAAACCAATCAGCTTACTTTTATCCCACAGAAAGAAATTGTGCTAAAGGATTTCAGAGGATAAAAGATTATATTAGAGAAGATAGTTCCAGTCGAATATTTAACTTGGTTCGTACGTGTATTGAAGCACAATGATTGAATCTAATTACTGTTTGTTGATTCGAAGCTAACAAATGTCAAACATAACCAAGCATGCACTAAGCCACTTGACGCTTGACGAACTGAACAA